GTACTTGTTTTTTTTTTGTTGTTTTGTCTTTATAATTTTGTGTATGCAATTTGGACACAAAAGAACCTAGAGAATGCTCCGGTATTTCAAAATTTAGCAAATTGTGCATCCCATTCCCCTCGAAAATAAGTGTTGACCCGCAACCTAGAGATTTTATTATTTGGTGAGCAAGGATAAGAAGTTTTTGGGAGAAGATGCAAACAATAATCATCCCAACTTTTCTTCTGTTCTCAAGCGGGAGGGGTGTCGTTTTAGGGTCCACACTTAGAATTAGTATAAATCTCATAACTGTGACGTGCAAAACTCTCTAAGAAAAGGAAGAAAAATTCTCATGGAAACTGCGTGATGACTTGATTCAAAGTAGTTTTTCATTTTCAGCGGGAACTACAAAATCATATAGATAAGATTGCTTTCCTGAATGTAACTTCGAATTTATAACTTGGCAGTTCCAACAATGCAAAAAAGGGTTGCATATGACTTGGATGGCGATATACCTCTTGTAAACTCCGTTCTAGTGCAAGATTAATTTCATATTTTTTATCTTGGTTGTCCTTCCAAAGAATTTCGCAGCACTTGGGTACGGAGGATACGCAAATTTTTCGCTTTTGGATCAAGGAATGAAAAATAACTAAAGCTGTCCATCCCCAATGTTTCCATGGTGCTCCGAGAAGTTTTTGTGGTATCATCTCACACTTATCCATTCATAGAAGAGGGCGTCATTGATGAAAATGGCCTTACTTTACTGAATGAACGAAAACGCCATCGTGACAGCACTGAAGCAATGGATATGGATGAATCGGGCATGAACAAGTTAGTTTGTATTGAAATTTATGTTTTGATTTTTTTATTTTTACTATTATTATGTTATACTTAGCTGGGTTGTTTTTGAGTTAATCCTATTTTGTTTCCAGAATCAGGATGAAGCCTGATATTATTACGTTTTATCGCACCCCAGGAGCCTTCAAGTTTTGTCGCCGCATAAGCAATGGTCCATTTATTGGTAGGTTTCTGATCATCGATTGATTTTATTTCCTCTTTTTATTTTCACTTTGCTGTCCTCCAGATTACTTTCACGCTAGCAACAGAGGCTCCCCGCTTCCAGAAAATGTTATCGTAGAAATTCTTTCCTATTTGAATAAGAGGGACCTCTGCAACGCTATGGCGACATGTAGGCTTTTATATGCTGCCGGGTGAGTTCATGACTTCTACTAGCTTTCAAAATGGATTTTTCATTATTTTGTTTTTTTATTAGATCGAAGTATA